TGTGTTGTGACCAGAGGCTCTCAGGAACCTCATTTCCCCTAGGAGCAATGGCTCAGAGACTTTATATAATATAACTACCACAAATAATGAGGATCAGCTAATATCTGTAACACACAAGGGCTTGTAAACCCTTCACTGTGCCTCCTCCTGTGCATCTCACCTGGTCTGGTCTTAGGGTCCAGTAATGCCTGTACGCACTGCTGTCTGCACAGGCATGGCTAGAACTCACTTCTCAAAGTGACAGGAGTTCCTGACCATTATAACTGGGGATACTTATTTTACAGCCAATTTGCTGTATCATCTCATGGAAGCTGCCTGTTCTCTCTGTGTCCCAGCCAGGAAGTAAAATGAGACTAATAGGACTAACCGAACTCCACTTACACCAGGTCTGGTGGAAGATCAATGTGATAGCGAAGATCCATGTGGCTGTGCTGCAACCATACATGTTTGGAATTTTCCTGGGCTTTATTCTCCACCTGGAAATTATAGTGTGCACCAGACAGGAGTGGATTCATTGAATCTGGGACAGATTAATTGATGTGAAGGTTTAGTAAGAATTGCTTGGTTCTTAGGGAAGCCAGGATGATAAGAAAAATATCTGAAGGGAAGGAGATCAGAAGGCAGTCTGTCTACTGATTGTTCAGGATTTCTTCAGAATTCAACAGGTAGCTGTCCGGTGGGACCATTGCTGTGTCTCAGAAGCCTGCTGGTGGTTCAGACTGAGCAACTGAGCAGAGACTAAGACTTTGATGATGTGAGCTAAGAAGGTTTCTCTTTTAAATCATTATTCCTTTTCTTCTTTAAAGGGAGAAGAGGTTCCTTGAGGTTACTGAGAGCACTGGGGCTTCTTTCTGAGCTCTTTGGAACACATATGAGAAATGAAGCTTGAACATTTCTCCCTATTTGGAAGTCTTGCTGGAGTCTGCTTTGTCAGAACTAACTCATCAGTGTCATAGCCACTTTCTAATTGTGCACTGCTTTCCGTGGCATCTTCTGAATTAGCATCAGGTTTTCCTCAAACGTGGAAATGTTCTTACCAGAGAGATGACACACCCGGAAATTTTTGGAGGGTGTGTATGGCTGTGTGATTGCATCAGACTATGGAAGAAAACCTCGTGCAAATCCCAGACCAGTAGAAATCCAACTCTTTAGGACAGATTTCCTGCCTGAGTGTTAGAACTCTAGGACCCACTCTGGATCACTCCATCTGTCATGGCAAAAGGAAAATTCACCATGTGAAATTCATCATTTCCTTGCCCCCGCCTTCCTGGGCTCCTTTGTGTCCTGTCATCTTAGTGGAACCACCATCTCTCCAGTTACCCAAACCAGAAAGATGCACGCCATTTAAACTTGTTCTCTCATCCTTTGTTGTCTAAGCTTTGTCTGCAGGTAGCCTGCCTCCCAACATCCCCATTAGTCACGCATCCCTTCTCACCCACAGCCAGTGCCTTAGTTCCAACCCCTCACGTCTTTCTGCTTGCCCATCTCCAGACCCTTTGAACGTGTCTTTTCTTGGCCCTGTCTCTTCTTGGGTCTGTCTATTTACTCATCAAAGTGGTTCAGTCAGGTCTCTTTCTGACTGAAGACTTATGATGAGGGCTGCGTGCCTTTGCGTGGTATTTGAGGCGCCGCAGGATCCGGCTCCCATGTGTCAGCCCAGCCTCCCTCCTCAGCACTCTGCAACTTGTTTGGTATGTTTCAGGTTTCTTTGCCTTTGTCGGTCTTGCTCCTTCTGTCCGGAAAGCCCTTCCCGGTTTTTCTGTTTGGGAAAATTCTGTTTGGTCTTTAAGACTCAGCTTCAGGGTTTCATCTCTCTCCTTACGAATCATAATAAAAATACTTAACAATTAGTCTGCTTGGGTTCTGAGCAATTAGAACATGGAGAACTCCTGGTATGGCCTTGCTTCTAGGCACCAGGTAACTGTCCTCTGGGTGAACCCCACCCAAGCAGAGTTGATCATTGCTCTTTTGTGCCACTGATGTACATGTGGAACGCCTGTTATTCACCCTGTGCTTATTCAACAAACATTTTATAATTGCGAACTCTGTTTAGACCCTGCCTGGATCATGAGAACACAAGAATGAAACGACGGCATTTTTGTGATCGGATGCTTATAGTGTAGTAGTATAGCAATTTTTTTCTTATTTGATAATTTTCTATAAGACTATGAGCTCCTTGGATGGTGAGGACCAGCTCTTTCATCGCAGCATCCTTGGTACCTGCCTAGTGCTGGGCGCACAGCATGCTCGTCAGTCTTTTCTGAATGAGGGTATCAGGCTGGGATCCCTAGTGTCTGGACTCAAGGGTCAGAATGTCAAGGTGTTAAAATGGTTCAAGGGATTGATTGGTCATGGGGTGAAGGGCTTCCAGCAAAAGGTGTTAGGTAACGTTTATTTATAACAGTATAGCCCAGAGAAAGTTCACGTGTCTTCTCTGTTCCTCCTAATTCAGCTTTTTTCCCCTTCTTATAGTTCTTTTTTGAATGGAATAATGTCACCCACTCACTGGTTTTATATAGCTCCTATTGAAGTAGAACTCAACAGAAATTGTGCCTATTAATTAAAAACACAGATTGTGGGCAGTTTTTGAACTGCTAATTAAAACTCTTACCAGTCAGGTTGCATTAGCAGTTTTAAACCTTTTTTTTCCCTTTTCCTGAACCTAGAACCTGCTTACCAGAGAAAATGACTTTAAAAAAGACAGTTGCCAGGAATGAAAATACCTTGTCTCAAAAACTGTTTCCTACGCCTCCCGTGAAATCATAAGGTTGGAGATCTTCCCAGCGCTTCGAAAGCTGTTGGTGAGTTGGAGTTGTCAGGGGACGTAGAGGGTACAAGTGGCCTCCTAGGGCCACTCTCTGCTGCCCTCAAATGATGGCTCCAGCTGTGGGTCTGTGGATGGCACAGCTGGTAGGTAAGGGCCTGAAAATGCTTTCCTCCTTGGGCTGGTCGAGAAGAAAATGTCATCAATTTCCAGGAGCTGCTGGGGCAACTGTGGCCTCTGAGTTTCATCTCATCTGCCGCTGATTGCCACAGCTGCCTGTGGTGAACTGAATTAATTCCACGAGGGCAGAAGGCGGAAGAATCTCAAGACTCAGGATCTGCTTCCTGTTTCGCGTCCTTTCAGGGACTGGAATTCTCTGCTGTGCCCACCAGTGCTGGTACCGGCAGAAGATGTGGCTTTCTGGGCATGGGGCCAAAGAGCTCACACAGGACTCCCTATTCAGCCCCAGACTGCATCCTGTGCTGGTGTTTGGGGTGTGGCGGCCCAGCCGGGCTGCCCTCATGACTGGAGTCCAAGCTCACGCGGGCTCCCTCGAGGTGGTCATGGGCGAGGGCCATGAGGCTGCTCTGACAAGTGGCCCCATTGTATCCTGAACCGGGAGGCTGCAGAGAGCGGCCCTGTGATGACTGCTGTGCGGTAGAGGACCCTGGGGTGTGTCAGTAGGGTTTGATTCCACTGAGCCAGCGGGAGAAGCCATGTGGTGAGCATGTGCTCGGGGCCATGTTTGGGTCCAAGGGCTGGCAATGTGCTTTGAGTCTGGGCTTCCTTTCTTTTTCAGAAGGTAGTTGATTCATGCAAAATGCTTAACCATGCCTGCAAAGCACGGAGCAGGGATCAGATCCCCCTTTGATGTGCAGGGTCTTTTTGGAGGTTCCAAAAAAATAGTTCAAAGATTTACTTTGGACACCACACCTCCAGCACATGTCAAAGTCAAGGCCTGACTCCCCAGGCAGCATGCCGGAGAAAACATTCTGTGCTGGCTTCTTCCCCTCTGCTTTGTCTTGTGCTGAGCACAGATTTCCAGATTTCACACTGGCCTGGTGGCAAAAAGGGAGGTTCAGCAAAGGAAAATAAGCACCTCTGAGCGTCCTGAGGGTCCAGAGAAGCAAGGGCGCACTGAGGTCTTCCAGTCCTGCTGAAGCCGAGCAGTGAGGTTTGTCTGCAGCAACTGGCCCTCTTACTGCCTTGGAGCTGGGAGCTGTCTGATGGGAATATAGAGAAAGAGCCCTCTGGCCACCCTCGGGGGTCAGATTGTGGTTCCGTCTGGGTTTGTTTTAGGTTGTTGGCTGCAGTGCTGTCTTCCCTCGTCTCTTCTCCTCCGTGGGATGTGGGATTTAAGGACAGGCTTGGTGAGAATGGGGTGCGGGAGGCTGGGTTGGGGGCAGGATTGGAGGCACATGAAAGGGAGGGCGGGCGTGTCCAGTTGGAGACCGGCTGGTAGGGAGACCATTCATCATGCTTCACGTGCTGAGAGTTTCCTTGCTCGTGTGTCCCCAAGGTGGCATGGGTGTGGGGAAGGTGCCTCCAGCTCCGTTCACAGGCTGGACGCTGCGGGATTGATGGTGTACGATTTGCACCTGCTTCTTGAGAGAAAGCAAAGTAGAATCATACCTTATGGTGGACGTGGTCGTGACCTTGAATTCAGGGGTTCGGGGAAGGATTTTCTTCCCTCTCTTCCTCTGTTTGTCAGGAACTCTCGAGGCCCTTGGGGGAGTCACTCCTCTGTTCTGTGGCTATTTACCCACCGGCTAGTGGTGGATGTTTTTGCCGCAACCTGCCTGCTGTATATGGTTGAGGGCGGGACTGGTGAAATCTGGATAGCCCAGTTTTTTACTCTGTTAGAAAAAGGGATTTAAAATGTAAAAGTCAAGTCAAGTCATATCATAGGCCCAGGGTTCCCCGGAGAGCAGAATCTGGAGCATCACTGGAGAAGGGGTGAGACATGGAGTCATCCCATAGTGCCCCCCACCCTCCATGCCCTTGGAATTACTGTTCCTTTCTCTCATATAGTCTAGGTTACAGCCCCCAGCAACCCTCATGAAAGCTGGCATCTCTGAAACACCACACATGTTCAGTCAGTGTCCAAAGTGATTTACCACAACATACAGAAGTCTCCTGGGGTCAACTCTACAAATATTTGGCAAATTACAGGAATATAGAATCTTATATTATTTTTAATGTCATTTAACTCAGGCTTTTCTCTCTCTCTCTCCAGTTCCCTTTATAGGTTTTCCTTTTGCTTCGTTTCAACGTTGACCACAGGGGACATTCCACATGGCCCCTCCCTCATGCGTGGTTGAAAATAATCCCGATCCAGTCTCTGTCGGGGTCAGGCTGCTCCGGCGTCCTGTGCGGAGAACAGTTTGAGTGAAGCATGCTTGTCCTTCCCTGGGTGCATGTCCTTGGAGATCCCCTCTGGTCTCAGAGCATTCCTACGCATTTCTTTGTCACTTCATGCTGTGTCTTTGCCAGTTTTCTCATGTTTTCTGAACTCTTTCCTTTTCAGAGGATGTTGGTTTCCTCCCACAGATCAGTTTCTTAGTTTTTATGTTACCGTCTCCCTGCAGCCTTCCCTCCGTGACACTCAAGTTTCTTCCTTTCATTTTAGAACAAATGCTAGCATTTTTTGAATGCCCATTTCTGATTGAGCTAAACCTAATGATTAATTGCTCTGGGTCAGGCAGTGTGCTAGGCTCTTTCATTGATCGGTAACCTTCAGAGAAACCCTGCCTTGCCGTCCCATTTTTACACATGAAAATGCTGGTGGTGCTTGATAAGTTAGACTTGTAGCAAGTGGTCAAGCAGCTCTTTTAACACAAAACAAATTCTCTCTTCTCTGTGTTATAAATGGTTCCCCTCATAGCTTGACAGAGGTTGCTCCCAAATTCACTTAACATGTAGGAATCATTTCAGTTCCCCCATGTAAGCAGCAGGGAGGTGTAATTAATCCAAAGCCATAGGTGAAACTTCATTTCATGTGTGTGTATGAGTGTGTGTGTGTTAATGTTGATCAATATTGTGAGCAGTTGTTATCCTTGACTTCCGTGAACAACAGAAATATCTGATTAGTTTAAAAACAGCTCTAGCTTCACTCACCAATATCTCATCGTGAGAGTCCATCATAGCCTCCTCATTTCGTCAGTCCGTCTCCTGAATTTGTTCAGGCCTGTTTATCTTTTCCTTTGCTGGCCTTCATGCCTAGGCGTCCAGGCCAGTTTGCACAGCCACTGTTCTCTGGCTCCTGGAAAGCAGTCGTTCAGCAGGAGATAACTCAGTGGCCAATACAGCAGTGCTGTTTGGGTGGCAGGATAGGAGGTGCCGAGCGATGATCTCCAGCATTAATAGTGCATGACTTAGAGACGAAGTATGCAATGGCCCAGGCCCACTTCCACGTGCCTTAGGACAGAGAGAAGGCATATTGGAGCTGTCGGGAAGCCCACGTCGTAAAGTCAAAGGGATGAGGACGTGGATAGTCACGCTGGGACTGTTTCATAATTGGAGAATTTGAGGTGGAGGAAAATGAAGTGATCTGGATTCACATACCACACTCATTTCAAATTGGGAGGCCCCTCAGGCCAAGAAGAGCATGACTAGTGCAGGTGGAAGAAGCAGGGCTCTCCGCACACTGTTGGTGCCACCTGTGTGGAGAACATCAGCGCACAGCACAGCTTGTGGAATATTTGTGTCTGTTGGGTCTTTGTGTCCAGATGCTAAACTGCTTGAAGGCTGGATAACATCATTTGTGTATGTGGTACCAAGCAGAATGCTTTGAATAGAGCACATGCTCAGAAATAGTAACTGATCAGTAAGTTGACGATGAGTAAGTCGATTGATGTAAAACTGAAAGCTCACTTGAACAGGAGACCCAAGTAGATCACAGTTTGGGTGTATGCACTGCGAAGTCTGGTAAGATGAAGGTCCTGAGCCCCTGTAATGGATAATGTTAGGGCACAGGCTGTGTATTAAAACAGAAAGATCCCAAAATACACTGA